TGAGAGACTCTTTACTCAAAGCAGTTTGTAAAGCTCTTTTTTAGCAAAGCACTCTGGATGTTGGATGTTTAAGCCTCTCCTCCTGTAGGTGATGTTAGTCAGTGCAGCAGACTCTATTAACATGGATTTTTCTCCCCCACTTCTTGCCTGACCTGCGCTCTGATCAGTCTCACTGGCTCAGGCTCATCAAACAGTGACCTCGTCTAATCTGATCTCTCTGCTCCCCCTCCCTCGGTCTCCCCGCAGCCTCGCTGGACATGAAGCAGGTGCTCCCGCTGAAGCTTTCCACCAAAGAGGACAACGCCCACAAGGTCAAGCGCTCCGTCAGCCCCCACCAGCAGGTCCCGATATTGGCCCCTCCTCAGTCGCACAGCCAGCATCACCACGCAGGTATCGCTGCACACGCGCACGTGCACGCGCTCGCTCAATCAGACGAACTCAAACACAATCTCTGTCTTTGCTGCATTATTAATCTTGGTTCTCATAGAGGCAAACAAAAGAGTTGCGTTCTCCACCTGGGCAAACCTGACCCCACCCAGTCACATTCCTCTCTGCATGCCCAGCCTCACCCTGTGTAAACACCGATCAGTTTCATGTATGATTAATGTCAATGTGCTGCTGACACAGACGTTTTAATCCCGTCCTCTCTGCTGCAGCTAACAAAGAAAACAGCGCTGGCAGCATTTTATGCGACTACATTCCTGTATGAGTAAACCCGCCTGCACCGAGCTGCTGTCAATAACTGTTTGCAATAATTCTTTGTTCTCTCATTGGCTTTGCTGCAGATCAGCCCACTTCTCTAGACAACGCTGGACCAGACATGCAGTCTGCCTCCCACCCTCCAAATGTTCAGAAGCCCCCCATGCCTCCTGCACAGTCCCATCCTCAACCCTCCGTGCAGCCTCCCATCGTACCTCCCCACTCACAGAGCACCGGCGCTCTTCAGTTCCACTCCCCCGCGCAGCCGCAGAGCCTCAATCCCAGCGCACAGGTTCAAGGGCTCAGCCTGCCGCCGCCCTACAAGTTCACCACAGAGGACCTCAATAAGGAGGATGTCATCTTCTTCTGAACTCACGATAGAGGAAAAACCAGTCCAGGGATTGATTGTCATCCCCATTAAACCATAAAGCCCATTCTGAAGAGCACCTTCATGCGATCAATGCAGACGCATTGTTTCAGTAAGGCTGGTGAAGTCTGTTGCAGGGAGGAGGGCTGCAGTGGTTCACACGGAAAGAAAGACGCCGTTTGTTTTTAATAACCCTCATCTGGCCCCAAACCGCCAGTATTAGTGTAATCGTTTAATCTTATTTTATTTAAGTTTTAGTTTTATATCTAAACTTAATTGGCTGAATCATGAAGGAGAGACCTTTGGCAAAACAAAGGCTCCTTCCAGAGTGTGAAAAAAAGGTGTAAATGAAGTTTTAGATCCAAAGACACGAGCCGCGAGAGCTGAACAGGATGTGACTGAAAGGAAGAGAAACTGTTGTTGAAATCAGGACAGTCGGTGAAGCGATGGAGATCTTACGGCACCTGGAACCACGTAAAAGAAACTCTTAACACTGTCTGCTCCATGTTTCATTTGCACAGTGTAAATACTTCAGCCCAGACAAACTGTGTGACTGTACAGCTGTTAAGATGATGAAGCTTCCTTTCATTTTGTTATTTGTCTTAATTGTGTTTATTGATTACGTCCTTGGTTTTTCGTCTTTTTACGAAACCCGTCTTGTCTAAGCTGCCGCGTCCTGTTACTTCATTTCAACCCACGGGGAGTTTGGCTAAAACTCGTGCAGAGTGAGACAAACTCAGAGTCTTTGTCACATACTTTCAACTCTTGGCATCATTTCCCCGAACGCTGGGTGTTGAATAACAACAAATAAATGTTTCATAAAAATGAGTCGTTCCCATCTTCATCGTTTGTTGCTGACTCTGAAACATAACTAATACAAACTTATTAGCATCAGCTTTAATTTTAAGGCTATAATTTCCCCACACTTATACTTATTCAGGAAGCTAATTGCAGACATCTGAGTTAGTCGCCACTTTACTGAGTTTGTCTCACCGCAGGAAGCCCCTCCCTGCCCCCCATCATCACTTTATGAGTCACATCTGTATGAAACATGTGTTAGTGGAGCTCGAGTGGGTGTCCTGTACATTTCATGCTGGAAGCTATTTTAAAAGCAATCTTTAAAATGCTTTAGTTTTTTTGTCAGTCGCCTGAATAGAAAAATAAGACAACATATTGGAACGTAAGCGTGTCAGGAGAGAGGATGTGGGCTCAGATACTGAAAAGTATCAAATGTATCGTGAAATAGAACAAT